TGCTGCTACTCAGAGTACACCCGGAGCAAGGATGGATATTCAAGAGAGAATCCGTCTCTGGAGACGTCCTCGAAAATATAACTTGAACCGTCCTCAACCTCTAATCTAGATCCGTCCTCAAACCCAATTCCTGTCCTCAGGTCATCCATTACCTTAATCAATAATTTTATCATTTTCAGTAACAGGGTGTCCCACGAAACATGACAATTGGTGAATATAGTTTTGACTGCAATTCCCTGCAAACATTTAGTCTCCGACAAACCGATGGCGAACATCAAAGTCCATAATTATTCACCCGCCCTGGATGTCTTCTTCCACTATGCACTGCATTAGATAATATAAAGACTTTTTGCTGTTTATTCCATTGAAAAAAAATCTTTTGCTCATATATAAATGAATAAAGAAATTTTACAATAATATGACTTCCATTGCCAAATATTATATTTTTATTCTTCTCTTTGGTATCAAACAACTTAACGAATTATGAAATAAGACATTTTAAACTATTTACCAACTGTCTTGTTTCGTGGGGACACCCTGTAGCTAAGTCACCGCAGTTTGAGTATAAGTAAAGATATCCATTAGTTTTTGTCGCTAATTTACATATAGATCTAATTGGATTAGAATTGAATAAACATATAAATAGATAGATCTTGCCGCCTTTGCTATTGGTCGTGAGTTATCACTAAGCACGTGAGCGAACCCTGATTGGATCCTAAAGAATGGAGTCTATAATATCCCTTTCAATTAAAAAGATGAAAGTAGTTGCACTGTTTTCTGGTTCTTTCGTATATTTTGCAATAAAAACCATGTGAATTTTTCGGATTTCTCCATTGCCTACAGAGCAATAGCGGATTTTCTAAAATTTTAAAAATTAAAACCTTTTGTATTGTTACAAAGCTTTATAGTTTTACTAGTTAAGTGGTTTAAATTGAGAATTTTAAAATTAAATTCTAAAATGACAATACGAGTTCCATTTGTAATTTTTAAAATATAATATGAACATAAAGGATTTGAAAGACGACTTTTAACAAGTTCCCTTTACAGCTATTAGATCGAAAAGGTTATATAACGTCGAAACAGAAAATATAATATGAACATAAAGGATTTGAAAGACGACTTTTAACAAGTTCCTTTTACAGCTATTAGATCGAAAAGGTTATATAACGTCGAAACAGAAAAATTGTAAAAACTAGCCGATTATGTTTTTATAAGATTATGTAAAAAATCTAGGATAAGCTGATACGAACAAATTATCTAGATATCTATAAGATGAATAATCTAGGAGAAAAACTAGGAGAAGGGATATCTACAGGGTGTCCCACGAAACATGACAGTATGCAGGACGACTTGAATGTCGTCTTGATTTTTGATATAATTTGCTGCGTTTATTTGTCAATCTAATTTTAGAAGTAAATTTCTAGAGATAATAATCACAAAATTTTCCTTGTCCTGCCATTTCCAAAATGTGGTCTGCCTTTTTTGTGCTTTCAATATTGCCCGAGATATGAAGAATTTCGTTCAGATTTCGACAATTTTGCTTTTATTTAACAAAATTGAAATCTGAACCAAACTCTTTATATCTCCGGTAATATTGAAAGCACAAAAAACGCAGACCACTTTTTGGAAATGCCAGGGCTAGGAGAATTATGTGATAATTGTTTCAAGAATCATACATGTTAAAGTAGATAGAAGACTAAATGTCACAAATAAATTCAATTACCAAAGACGACTTTCAAGTCGTCTTCCTATTGTCATGTTTCGTGGGACACCCTGTAGGAGAAGGATTATCAAGAAGAAGGATTATCTAGGAAAAGCCAGATTGATTATCTAGAGAAAGGATTATCTAGGAAAAGCATTATCTAGGAAAAGAATTATCTAAGAGAAGGATTATAACCTTCTCCTACATGAAACCTTTAATAACGAATACATCAAAAAAAATCATCAAATGTCGTATTCTTCACTATCTGATAATGTAATGCTGCAGATATTTAGTTTTTTTAATTAAATGATTATATGGACCTCTTTAAATCTGTTCCCGCATATTCATGTCTATTTATTTATTTTCGCAAATATTGAAAATTACGTAATATAGTATACAACTTATCGAAAAATTGTCAAGACGACATTTGATTAATTCTTCCGATGTATTCGTTATCAAGGGTTTCATGTAGGAGAAGGTTATATCTCGGAGAAGAATTATCAAGACGAAGGATTATCTAGGAGAAGAATTATCAAGACGAAGGATTATCTAGGAGAAGAATTATCAAGAAGAAGGATTATATAGGAGAAGAATTATCTCGGAGAAGTATTATCTCGGAGAAGAATTATCTTGGAGAAGAATTATCTAGGAGAAGAATTATCTAGGAGAAGTATTATCTAGAAGAAGAATTATCTTGGAGAAGAATTATCTAGGAGAAGAATTATCAAGACGAAGGATTATCTAAGAGAAGAATTATCAAGAAGAATGATTATCTAGAAGAAGGATTATCTAGGAGAAGAATTATCAAGACAAAGGATCATCTAGGAGAAGAATTATCAAGAAGAAGGATTATCTAGGAGAAGAATTATCTAGGAGAAGAATTATCAAGAAGAAGGATTATCTAGGAGAAGAATTATTTAGGAGAAGAATTATCTAAGAGAAGGATTATCTAGGAGAAGAATTATCAAGACTAAGAAATATCTAGGAGAAGGATTATCTAAGAGAAGGATTATCTAGGAAACGTATTATCTAGGAGAAGAATTATCTAGGACAAGGATTATCTAAGAAAAGTATTATCTAGGAGAAGAATTATCTAGGAAAAGGATTATCTAGGAAAAGGTTTATCTCGAAGAAGGTTTATCTCGGAGAAGGTTTATCTCGGAGAAGGTTTATCTCGGAGGAGGTTTATCTCGGAGAAGGTTTATCTCGGAGAAGGTTTATCTCAGAGAAGGTTTATCTCGGAGAAGGTTTATCTCGGAGAAGAATTATCTAGGAGAAGGTTTATCTAGGAGAAGGGTTATCTCGGAGAAGGCTTATCTCGAAGAAGGATTATCTCGGAGAAGGTTTATCTCGAAGAAGGATTATCTCGGAGAAGGATTATCTAGGAGAAGGTTTATCTAGGAGAAGGTTTATCTCGGAGAAGGTTTATCTAGGAGAAGGTTTATCTTGGAGAAGGTTTATCTCGGAGAAGGATTATCTCGGAGAAGAATTATCAAGACGAACGATTATCTAGGAGAAGGATTATCTAGTAGATTATTTAGGAGCATATCTAGGAGATTATATAGGAGAAGAATTATCTAGGAATAGGATTATCTAAGAGAAAGGCCCCTATCCTGATCCAGATTTATTACTTTATTTATCCTACAGGTGAACCTGGATATAAACATAGTCATTTACTAAAACTAGGGGAATACAGGGGGGGTCGTTTTATGGCTACAATGTAGGGATCTAGTAAACCTATAGAGGATAATATATTAGAAGAGTAAATGTAGGGATCTAGTAAACCTGTACAGGATAATAAATTAGAAGAGTAAATGTAGGGATCTAATAAACCTATACAGGATAATAAATTAGAAGAGTAAATGTAGGAATCTAATAAACCTATACAGGATAAGAAATTAGAAGAGTAAATGTAGGGATCTAATAAACCTATACATCCTAATAAATTAGAAGAGTAAATGTAGGGATCTAGTAAACCTATACAGGATAATAAATGTAGGAGCTTAAAATGAATGATTGTAAGAATTATTAAAGATTATTTATTTTGTATCTTTTCACCTGAGTATGAGAAACAACAGCAGTATGTAGACCTCCAGTCATTCCTGATTCCTCATCCGCATACTCTACATTCATCCAACTATACAGTATTCATCAATATACTCTACATTCATCCAACTATACAGTATTCATCTATATACTCTACATTCATCCAATTATACAGTATTCATCTATATACTCTACATTCATCTAACTATACAGTATTCATTTATATACTCTATACTCATCCAACTATACAGTATTCATTTATATACTCTACATTCATCCAACTATACAGTATTCATCTATATACTCTACATTCATCCAACTATACAGTATTCATCTATATACTCTACACTCATTCAACTATACAGTATTCATCTATATACTCTACATTCATCCAACTATACAGTATTCATCAATATACTCTACATTCATCCAACTATACAGTATTCATCAATATACTCTACATTCATCCAACTATACAGTATTCATCTATATACTCTACATTCATCCAACTATACAGTTATCATCAATATACTCTACATTCATCCAACTATACAGTATTCATCAATATACTCTACATTCATCCAACTATACAGTATTCATCTATATACTCTACATTCATCCAATTATACAGTATTCATCTATNAAAGATGAGGGACAAGGATTGATCTTGATTTCCCTAGTATTTATGTCTGGGATTGTAACGATATCAAGGGATTAAATGTTACAGTGTGTACAGGTATAGATATGTCAAATAGTTACAGTGTGTCCCAGTAAACAGTTTTGATAAGAGATATTTAAAAACCTTGAAATGCATCAAATACAGCAAAAATGAATATTACAAAATAAAAAAGTCTCTTAGAGTATCGAACTCATTTCTTTCTGTCGTAGGGTTTGATATTTCTAACTGTGCATCTTATTAGATCAAAGCATATAAGTTTACATATCCAAAGTTTCAATTTTTAGGTTGCAACGCTATATAGATTAAACTTGTTCATTTCTGTGAAATACAAAATAATTTCCATACAGTGATAACCAGAAAACTGTGGAAAAGAAGAAGACAAAAAAGCAATACTGAATTGCATTTTAAGTTGTTTCTCAAGTATATAGCAATACATAGCAATTAATCAGATCACGTATTCAGTGAAATGGGTCTGTTTACACTGCACAATTGCTGTGTTTCATCTAAATTTGACTATTTTAAGTCATAACTTCAGTTTAAAAGTCGTTTTCTTATTCCAGAGTTTTCTGGTTATCACAGTATTGTCATATTTAGTGGGACACCCTGTACAGAAACCTGTACTGCAGCTTGGTAGACATTGTGTGTTGTATTTATCCTTCCAGATTCAACCTCAACCAAACCTAGACCATCTCCTAAACATAGATTGTTGAACTGGCCCATCTCCTAAATATAGATTGTAAACCTGGGGACCATCTCCTATACATAGATTGTTAAACTGGACCATCTCCTAAACATAGATCGTATACATGGACCATCTCCTAAATAACGATCGTAAACCTGGACCATCTCCTAAATATAGATTGTAAACCTGGACCATCTCCTAAACATAGATTGTATACAAGGACCATTTCCTAAATATAGATTGTAAACCTGAACCATCTCCTAAACATAGATTGTATACATGGACCATCTCCTAAATATAGATTGTAAACCTGGAACATTTGCTAAACATAGATTGTAAACCTTGGCCATCTCCTAAACATAGATCGTAAACCTGGAACATTTCCTAAATATAGATTGGAAACCTGGACCATCTTTTAAACATAGACCATAAACCTGGACCACCTCCTAAACATAGACCATAAATCTGGACCATCCCCTAAACATAGATCGTAAACCTGGACCATCCCCTAAACATAGATCATAAACCTGGACCATCTCCTAAACATAGATCGAAAACCTGGACCATCCCCTAAACATAGATCGTAAACCTGGACCATCTCCTAAACATAAACCATAAACCTGGACCATCCCCTAAACATAGATCGTAAACCTGGACCATCCCCTAAACATAGATCATAAACCTGGACCATCTCCTAAACATAGACCATAAACCTGGACCACCTCCTAAACATAGACCATAAACCTGGACCATCCCCTAAACATAGATCGTAAACCTGGACCATCCCCTAAACATAGATCATAAACCTGGACCATCTCCTAAACATAGATCATAAATCTGGACAATCTCCTAAACATAGATCGTAAACCTGGACCATCTCCTAAACATAGATCATAAACCTGGACCATCTCCTAAACATAGAGCATAAACCTGGACCATCTCCTAAACATAGATCATAAACCTGGACCATCTCCTAAACATAGATCATAAACCTGGACCATCTCCTAAACATAGAGCATAAACCTGGACCATCTGATCATAAACCTGGACCATCTCCTAAACATAGAGCATAAACCTGGACCATCTCCTAAACATAGATCATAAACCTGGACCATCTCCTAAACATAGATCGTAAACCTGGAACATCTGCTAAATATAGATAATATAAAGGTTATTTTTTCAGATAAAGAAACGCAAAAAATACCAAAACTGTCCCAGGCATTACACATAGTATTATTTTACCTAGCGTTGTGTAGTTTTCTAATGGCAGTACACTGGTCTGGGTGGAGGTTAGTAGGTCATACAGTACACCAGGTAGTTCTGTACAGAATAGTAGGTCAGTGCAGTACAGTACAGTAAGAACAGTACAGTACAGTAAAGTACAGTACAGTACAGAACAGTACAGTAAGGTACAGTACAGTACAGTACAGTACAGTACAGTACAGTGCAGTACAGCAAAGTACAGTACAGTACAGTACAGTACAGTACAGTACAGTACAGTACAGTACAGTACAGTACAGTGCAGTACAGCAAAGTACAGTACAGTACAGTAATTTTTGAACAATCTTTAAAAGCTACAGAATGAGGGTTGAAAAGGTTGTAAGCTGTAAAATTGACATATGCCGTATGTTTGAATAATGAAAAAGCTGGAAGAAAAACAAACTAAGATTAGTAAAAACAACAACAGTCTTCTGCACACTCGTAAAATGTCAGAAGTGAAGAAATATTAGAAGGTCTATATGCCCAGTATACAAACACTGATACAATACAAGATCAAGCAAGGGAGGAAGTTTTTGATACAGGTGATTAAACATTATGTGGCACTAAAAATGTCAGAATCTATCTACAAGATGGCCTATTTTTTAATATAAAGAGATTTATTAAAGTCGCATCCTTTGAGGAGTGTCCCAAAGTATTTCTTTACAAGTGGGAAATATTGGATTACTGTAGTGCTATTAAAACAATTTTGCTCCATGTTTCAAAAAAAGAATTGTTAAAATAAAGTCTCATCCTTTTTGGGTAGCTCTGTATTGTATAAGAAGCCTATATATAGATCAAATTAAATTAGATGTGTGTAGTACATTCTAGGGTGTCTTTTAACTACTATATATCTATCAAATATAGTTCTAACCATGTGAGTGATAGAGCAAGCAATACCAAAAGGTGTTTTATGTGTCATATGTGTTTGCTGGAAAAACCGATTCTATGTTTTTGACGAAAATCTTACAAAACTGTGTATTTTAGTAATCTTATGCGCATTTGATGTTGTTTTAAAGCAAGGAAAAAGTGTTACGCATGAAAATAAACTGTTAAAATGAACATGTCTTAATAAACTGTACAGTGTACTGTATTCTGCAAAATTGCTATATGTTTCTTGGACAATTTATATCATACAATGAGTCTAAAAGTCGTTTTCATATTCTGAAATTTTAACAGCCTTGCTGTGTAAAAACTGACCTGTTGCAAAATGGCATTCCTCTGTGTTGTAATGTAGGTTTTGTAGGTTTTCTGCATCAAGAAATATACCATGATAAAGTAATAGAACTATATTTTTTTTTCTCATTAATTATAGGGGCTCGACTTGATTTCATTTACAGATTGAAATGTATGATTCACAGCGCTACCCTTTAAATCTTTGACCGGTCAAGTTATCCTTATTATATCCACAGAAAACTTGTGATTGAATTGTAACTTTGTGTGCAAGTTATAGTTTACTAAACAGATATCATTATGCATTTCTAAAAGCTTTTCAGACGATTTTGTAAAAAAAATACATTAGACATGTGCATTCCAGTTTCCCTGTTTAGCAAATTGCATACGATTTTTAGCGAGAAAAGTGCGAATTTCTCCGCTCTAAATTTTTCAGATATTTAAATATAGATTTAAATCAACAGCTATTAAGTAAATTATCATTTAAGCAATAAAGAATAAAAAATGTTTCTATAAAATGTGTACAATGACAGAATTTTGTTTTATTTTATTTTCAAGTATTTAACTGCATGCGCAGTTGTTGACAGCTCATGGCAAAAAATGAAACTTGAGTCATAATAAAAATTATGTATTTCCCCAGTATATGAAAAACAAGTGTGATTCTAAAGTGCATGAAAGGAAAGGTTAACACCCTTGTTTGTTCTTCAACTTATTTCTGCAACAAAATCATCTTTAAAGGGACAGTGCACGTAATTTCAAGTGACCTTTCATTACATATAAAATTTAATACTTAAAATTCGTATCAATAAGGAAACTATCTTCGGTTTCTATCTATCTATCAATAAGGAAACTATCTTCGGTTTCTATCTATCTATCAATAAGGAAACTATCTTCGGTTTCTATCTCAAAATGTGTTGAATTCTAACAATGTTACGGTAAAAAGAAAAACTATTATTTTTTAATAATGGTTTTATTATAAGTATATCTCAGTTATCCCTGATAGGGCAATGGTTGTAAATGGTACATGCCAATCTATTAAAATCACGTCTACAGTCCCTTTAAATTGTTGAATAGTTTTGTTTCTACAAATTATTTCCCTTAAATTTTGTCGAAATTTCAAAGTGTTGAAAAATAAGTAAAAAGTAAACGCTTGAAATATTACCATAATTTGTTCTGCAATTTTTCTGCAGTGCATAATGCAATATAATTCAATCTTTCTTTATATATTTTTAAACAATGTCAACAACTAAAATGTTAACACAAATTTTTAATTTTTTCATTAGTTTTAACATTTTTTAACAGAACGTAAAAAAGTTCATAAAAACTTGCAAAAAAATCATGAAAAAAAACGTATTAAAGTGACTGTGTAAAGGAAAAATGAAAGCAGGTATGGCTGAAACTTAAGTTAGGAGTTGATCGAAAACCATGCAAGGTCTATCTGATGTTCCTGTCTAGAGAAATTGAAAAAAAAACTATGTCAAATGTAAACAAAAATCGGTATAAAATTCGTAGTATTAAAGAGATCATATTCAGCAAATACAAAACTAATCTGAAAACAACGATATCGCAGAGGATCCTGAGTAACTAAGTTTTGCTCCTATTATTAATTTAATTTATCATTTTTTCATTTTCGATAGATATAATTGATAATATAATAATTACGTCCGTATCACGTGACCAGAGTTCTGGTCACGTGATACGGACACGTCTACATTTTAATGTATAAGCAATAATTTGATTCTCTATGAAAGTTAAGAATGCTCAAGAATTATGATGAAAATCCGGGAACAGGAAAACTGGAATCCATATCAATTATATCCATATAATAAAACAAGACATTTATATTTATATATGTGTTGCCAGGCCGGACCGGACCGGCATTTTTTGAGGGAACCCGTACCTTGGGGGTAACATTGAGTAAAAAAATTCTTAAATTCAAGAAGCAATAATGCAGTACTCTAAGAAAGTTCATAATGCTCGAGAATTATGAGGAAAATCCGGAAACAGAAAAACTGGAATCCATATCAATTATATCTATTAAAAATAAAAAAACAAAAATTATAAAATTATAATAAGAGCAAACCTAAGTTACTTAGGCTCCTCTGGGAAATCGTCGTTTTCAGATTGGTTGAGTATTTGCTGAAAATAATCACTTTATATCCACATTGGAAACATTTAATTTCTGTGTAATTCACTTTTTTCCCCCTTTTTGGATATCCCTACTGGATATCCTTACTGGATATCCTCACTAGATATCGACCAATTAGATTTCTTTCATTAAATAGCGCGCGAAACTTAAAAAATGTCCGGCAATTCTGATTGGCTATTCGGGATTCTGTATGCACCACTCTGATTGGTTTAAGTTTAGAAACTTTACAGGATAAAAACTAAAGATGAAATTACTCTTAAGATTAGCAAATTAAAAGATTATTCACAATTCGAAAGTGTTTAGCTCTAGGGTGCTAGACATGTAAATATAATTATAAATTATTTTTTTGTTGGTTATTTCAAAATTCCTAAACTATCACTCATTGAAGTTAATTCCTGAAATACAATATTGTAATTTATATTATTTTTAGTTCAGTTTCGACATTTATGCAAAATTTAAATTCCAAATTATTTTATGACTTGATATCATATATTTCTGAACCTCGTTTTCTCTTTTTTTAAATTTTACTTTTAGCTTTGAAAAAAATGTCAGAATTTCTAAGGATTTTGTTTTTTCTCCAAAAAACTATACAATTGTCTTAGTTTCGTTTATGTCACTCAATTTAAAGATAGAAAAAGGTGAAAAATAATGAATATCAAGGGAAAGTTGAGCTAGGATTTGACAGTTAACCTAAGTTTCTATTCACTATAGTTTCAGTAGATTTAAGGATTCAAAACTCTGATTGGATAATTCTAGATAGATAGAAAGATAGATGTTACCGCCATACTATTTCTATTAGTTTAGAATAGACAACAAACACATGACTGAACCCTGATTGGATCAGGTGCTTATGGAATCAGCAAACTGGAGTGTAGTGTTGCCCTTGTAGTGTTGCCCTTGTCCTATTAGTTTAGAATAGACAACAAACACATGACTGAACCCTGATTGGATCAGGTGCTTATGGAATCAGCATACTGGAGTGTAGTGTTGCCCTTGTCTTCTTACAATATGTTGCAACCTGATAGAGTGTAGACTCGACTGGATTCTGCCATCGGGGGTCACAGTCCCTAAACACAAAGAAAATTTAATTAAACATTTGTTTAATGAAAATTTAGCACTTACCCTTTAACTGTCCTAGAATCTGACCGTGGTTCACTGTAAGAAACAAATCATAAAGCTTCACGCAAAACTTTTAAAGGGATACTTAAACAATTTCTCAAGAATTATTCAAATAAAAAACTAAAACTTTTATAATTCTTTTTCCTTATTTCAAGATTTTCCAGAGTAATCTCTCCATCAAATTCTAAAGATGTGTTTAATTGACGAAAATCTAATCCGGTACTCTCCTTAAACCGATTTGATTCAAGTGCAGCATTATGTGGAACATCTTCAAACTGCCTACAGACTGTTATTGTCCCAGAAATATCCGTATTTTCACTTAAAAACATTTTTCTGTATTCATGTTTAGAGATTTTACTTTGTTCATGTTTTTTATCAATTTCTTGTTGATCGGTATTTTGAGATTGAATTCCTGAAAACAAACTTCATTTTAAACACATTATCTATGTAATAAAGTTCTTCGTTAATTTCTATCTTTGCTATAGCAGGCTAAACAGAGTAAACAGTGGGTAATGAGTAACCTGAGGAATGCCGGGCACTTAGCTAATAAAGGAATACAAGTATAATGGATGGACCTCACCCTCATCTTTGTATCTTGACGATCAACGCCTCTGATGTTTAAAATCAAGAATATTTGATTTTTTAAAGAATGCATAGTTTAAAATATGAAAGTGCAAAATATGAAGATTAGACTATTTTAATGCAAGTTTGAAAATCCTTGAAGAAGAAAAAAAGAGCATTAGGGGAAGGTTATAATGCAAGGAAGGTTATTTCAGAGGTTTACGCATCTTTTGTACTGCAGTGTACTGTCTCTGGGCGGTAATGTAAGCGCAAGACGGATGTCGAAGCCTGACATGGGATCCAACTAAATGAAATATTCTGGTCATAGGAAACTGTTATGTGAACTATCAAAATAGTCAAAAAAAATTGCGTTTAACCTTCTCTGATACTAAACGAACACTTATGCATCTATTCTTGTTTACAAATTCCGCCCAGAGAGAACTGGTTTCAATATGTACGCAGAGTATACGCAACTGCAATTAAGTTTCCTTGCATTATAACCTTGATTAGGGGGTGGTAAAGTTATGATAATTTTAAACAAATCAATATAGCAGATGCACACGTGACAAGAAAACAATTTTTGACTTATGGATATTAATCTAAAAAAATGTTTGGATTAAATAATTTTCCATTTTCCATATTCAATTAATTATTTTCTATGAAGGTTAGTTCCTAAAGCGTTGTTAAGTATATCTTCATTTTCGATGGTTTTCTTTTTTCCCGGTGCAGCATGACTTTTTAAATGATTTTTCAAATGATGGCTCACGGTGAATCTTCGTCCACAAGCGCAGATAAACGGTTTTTCATTAGTGTGAGTTCTCGTGTGTTTCTTCAAATCACTCATTGTTGTAAACAGTTTTCTGCATTTATAACTGGAGCAGTTAAATGTTTCACCTAAACAAACTCTACTGTTTGCATTGATAGTTGTATTAAAACTGACCATTGATATAAAACTATCGTTTTTGTTCAAAATTTAATTTAAAACATTTTCTCGTTTGAACCGAGGTTTGTAGATTCAAATTCTATTTTTCATTAAAGTCATATTTGTCGTTTTTATTCCAATTTTAAAAACGAACGTATTGAAAACGATCGTTTTCCGGAACGATCGATTTCGTATTTTCTTCTTAAAAACTTTCACAATTTAGTTTTTATCCCTTTCAAAACGATAGTTTTCAAAATTATCGTTTTGAAAAAATCGTTTTGTTTCCAGATATTTTTTCATCGTTAACAAAACGAAACAAACGTTTAAAAAAAAGCCAAAACTGCCCATCTTTACTCGCAGTTTAATGGAAATCATTTGTGTTTTGGGAGATGAAGATTAAAGCCTTATTGAGAAATATTAGAGGGACCGGGTATAGTCTGAATCCCAATCTCGCTACTAATTTTACTGTCATCTGATTCTGCACTCACCTGTATGTAGTCTTTTATGCGCTGTAAGCCGATATAAAGTTGTAAATGACATTGTACAGTTAGTATAATCACATGTAAATGGCTTCTCCTTAGTGTGAGTTCTGTTGTGAACCTAAAAATTAAAATTTAAACATTAATTGTTTCGTTGGAATAAATGCAAATGTGTTGATCCATACAGATACAACTTTTGAATAAGTTAGAATTAGTTATTGTGTAGAAAGCTTATTGTGCGTGGGTCCTGGGAAGAGAAAGAAGAAACACAATTGAACTTGCCACAATACAGATTTATTTATAATTTATTTTAGAAATAAACTAAACTTTGGACTTACCTTTAATGCATAGGATGCAAGGAAAGCTTTACTGCAAGCTGGAAACGAACATCGAAACCTGTATTCTCCTTTGTGAGATTTCTCATGGGTTCGCAGATTTCCTGAACAAGAAAATAAAATTAAAGGAACTAGAGACGGATTTTTAAGTGACCCTTTTTTAAAACCTTAATCTTATCAATATTGTGGAAGACACCAGTAGAATTCTTTCTCTATATTCATAATTTCAAAAGACCCGCCATTAATAGAGTGGCATATTTGATTCACAACGGTACCCTGAAAAGATTTGTCTGATCAACGAATGAATGAGCTATCCATGATTTTTCTTAAAAACTTGATGATTTTTAACTGAGGTTTTTCTAAAAAGTGTCCCGCTGATTTGTTGCAACAGAAGCAATTATATATGTGTGGATAAAATAGTTAAAATAATAGTTTAAAGCCAGGACAACGACAATATTGTCCAAATTATTGATCAGATGACGTTTCAAATGTTGAAAAGAGGGAATAAT